TGTTCATATTAGTAATTTATTTTTTTTATATCAAAATTCTATCAATAATTCACGCGGCCATTGGCACAATCTATGCGGCTTTAGTTACACAACTTAATAAATTGAGTAAACCATTCACCAAATTCAAAGGAGCTGCTGATAATTACAGGTGAGCTCAGCCCTAGAAAGAATCATGAAATGTGTACTTAATATTAGTTGCCAGGAATAATCTTAACCAATTAATCGTCCCAATTATTTTCACTTTTATTTCAAGGAAAATGATTACCTTATGAAGACAAACAAACCCCTTTTTAATATGCCCTTATAAGCTCAGATTTAATATTCTTTATTAGATGATTAATTAATTTATTTGGTGCTTCTTAATTTGACTTCATTTCAAGGTTTGGCTAAATGCTGAAAAAAAGGGAAAGCAATGCATGTACTGTTAACTGAAGGCACATATAGTTTTCAAGGAGACTATTTAAGCGGCTGATGCAGTTGGTCGGTTCAAAGCAAATCTTTTATTTTCCCCGTTTTTTCTCCTAAGAGGATATGGGAAAAGGGGTCAGCCTGCGGATTTGGAAATTTTGAAACAAAAGATGTTAAGAAATGCACTCTTTTGTTTTTTTCTTCTTCTTTAGTTTCTAAAAGATTTCTGTTAAAAAGTCAAGGAATATGAGGAAAAAGGGTTCTTGTAAAATTCTAGCTGCTACAAATGGAGGCATATACCGTGTCGCTTAGTCATATCATGCTGCTTCAGCTACTGTGAACCAACTGAACCAGAAAAAGGACAACGAATATCTTCTCTCATCAATTGCTTCTTGTTTATTGCATTGTAATGACTGCTTTTGGAACACTTGTGAGAAAAATTCGTATCAAATTCACAAACACCTTCATCATAGATTCGTGAATAATTCTTTTTCTCCTTGTGGCTATTCAATTCTAAACATTGCATCACAGTGGTTATGTTGGTCAAGTGGCGCAGACTGTGCCAGTGGTAGTGGAACTAATCGTTTGTTGGTGATACAAGAAAAACAAATTTGTTCTTTTGCAAGTAACAATTTGCATATCACTAACTCCCAAGTTTTGAAATTTCAATTAGATTCAAAATTTAGCACCAAAAAGTGGCCAAGTACTAGTTTATTCATACTCCGCATTCTTGGAATTTTGTTTCAATTAATGAAGCCTTGACGGTGATTCTGCAACTGGAAGTTGTTAACTCTAGTTCTCTCATGTTTATGATCTCAATTCTAATGTGCAAGAAACGGATATATCTATTGTTAGGTTCCAAAGATACAAATTACAGTTGATTAATGTATATATCAACCATCAAACAATTCAAAAGCTTTTTCGGAACATGCAAATATTGGTCAAAAATTGTACTAGATCATTTACAATGATAGTGATTCAGATTCTTTTGGGGCTTATTTGGAGGCTTTTTGGAGTTCCATAAGGTTTGCACAAACAATCTGTTCAGTACTGTTTAATTCTCTATAGGCTGGAATGAGTTATCTTGATATTCACTTCCTTAATTTGTCTGTTCATATTTCTACTAATAAATCTTGCATATCCCACCGGGAATAAATTCTTGGTTGCCTGCAGTGTATGCACAAATGTTAAGGGTTCAAATTCAATGACAAAAGAAGAGTTTGCTGCCAAGATAAACCCCATTCCTTGAATCATTTTGCTATTGGTGGAAAGGGAACATGTGAGTGCAAAATGAAGCCAAAAATGATTTACAAACAATTAAAAAAATTATATCTTCTTAAAATATAGATCCTTCAAATCCCCCAGCGGCAATCCCCTCCTCCCTGAACGGAGAAAAATAACAGAAACAAACTGTAGATGGTGAATGCCCCTGTACCTCATAATGATTACAAAATTCGTCAGATATTCTTTAGCCAGATATAGAATGACGCATTCAAAGGCAGATTCTCTAGATCAAGTGTTAATATCTGAATTAATTGAATGATAATATCTCCAGCATTGCACTCTGATAGTAACACAAAAATGAGATAAGACTAATGAAAAGGATAAGAGGAGACACATAGAGATAGAGATCACCATCCTCTGAATTGGCAAATTTTCAATAAAAAAAACATGGGGGAAAATTAGTTCAACATTAAAAATGGATTGAAGCAACAAATTGGAGGAAAAATATTATACCAAACAACACTCAACCATATTTCTCAATGAAGGAGAAAGAAAAAAGGGTTACCAAGGGAACCGACATCTCCATGATTTCTTTATTCAAGATTCAAAAGTGTAATAAACAACCCTCACAAAAAGATAACAATTTGAAGCAATAAGAGAGAAAGTAGCTGAAGGCAGTATATACTGAATTCCATGCAACAATCATGGCCTTTCAATCAGTTTCTAAAGTCTTCTAAATTTCATGATGGTAGAGTGAGGCATCAGATATTTGGTGGGTCCCTTTTATGTCCCATAACTTGCCCATAAACACTGTTCAATTTTGTTGTTTCATAAATGGGGTTTGAAGTTTGAAAGGAATGTTCTTAAGGTAAAACTGAACAATCTTCACCAACTTTGCTATCAACATTTATTTATTCATTTATTTACTTTTTAGTCCGAATTTATCAGAATATCCAATCTCAGCATGTCCTAATGCTTGAATTTAGATACACCCACTCAGTTGATCAAGTACATATGTTGCCATTCAAATTCAAATATAAAGTGAAGTCTTTCAAAATAATCCTTACTATTATTTTTCAAAAATTAAAATCAATTTATGGGTGTCAAATATTTCATAAATCTTACTATATATATGCTGTGAATTTAAGAAATAATGCAAGAAAACTACTAGATTTTATATAAAAATCTACTTATTGATAATTTCAAATATTAAAAAAAGTAGATAATAGTATATGGTATATGAAACAGTTGGCATATATAAAGAATTAAGTTGGCAAATTCAAAATTAGATGATAGAATGTGGTATCCTTCAAGAATAAAGAAAAGAAGCTGCGGTCTTGTTTACATTTCCTTTAGATTTAAGTTAGCAAATTCTAAAGCCCACCATTCAAGAAAATGGGACTTTGCGGTGGAGGGCAACCAAAAGTCTATTTACATTCAATGCTTCTAAAGACATTCCAAGTAACATACGCTCCAGCTTATGAAGTTTTCCTTTTTTTTTTTTTTTTTTTCCTTACATTCAAGGCAATTATCTCTCACACAATCTGCTCAATTTTGTTTTTCATTTTTTATTTTATAAAAAAAAAAAAAAGAAGCTTAAGGTTAATAAATATTAGTTTCAATTCAAACAATCAGTTCAAGTTGCATGTACGGTTGGGCCATTTCACATTCAAACAAATCCAACGAAAAGAACCAAACTGTTCGGTATATTTTTAAGCAATATGGGCCCCGGCATAGTTAGGATTCGGCCCATAAGGTAATCAATACGGGCCTGATTCACCTGACTAACATCCAATTTTTCTGGCCCAATTATATGCCTTTTTCATAATCATCGTCAAAAAAACACCTCTAGCAAAAACGGGTACGGGAATTGAGAATGGGACTATCGGTAGAATTCCAAGGCTGTAAGAGTAGGATTGTCCAAACGACAACGCATCGGCGAGCGGGAAAAGCAGCATGTGAAATGAAGATGCATACGTGGACGCGTCTTCTTCCTACGAATAACAACTTTTAATAATTTAATGAAATTTTCTTCAGTATAAAAATATTAAAATTTAAATATTTTAAATATTGCAATAATAAATACTACTATTTTTAATATTTTTATATTAATATAAAATATTTTAACAGTAAAATAATAATTTAAATTCTTTAAACTATTAATAATAAATATTCTTTTAATAATAAACAATAATTTTAAATTTGGACATAATTTATATGATATATTTAAAAATTTTTATATGATATATTACAAATAATTAAAAAATTAATATAATAAAATTATATATTTATTTGTTTCTTAATCTTATTTATGAAAATTTTAAACTCATTTAATTCGATTCAAGTCAGATTTAGACATAATTATTTAATTTGAATTTATCTTGATCCAACTAGAAATATTGTTATATTAATAATTTTTTATTTACTTTTAATTTAAAATTTTAAAACATTAATATAAAATGTCTTTTGATATTTTAATTATAAATCTCACTATTTTGAATATTATTAATGATAAATATTTCAAAAATAAATAAATTTTATATTATTTTAATAATATTATACTATTTTATGCTAATCGATATTATTTAGAATAGCAACATTACTTTTTTAATAATATGAATATTTTCATATTTTAATTATTTTAAAATATTTTTAATTAAATTTATATGAGAATTTTAACAATAAATTCAGAGAAATAACAATTTTAATAATTTAATGAAAAATTTTTACTATAAAATATTAAATATTAATAATTTAAATATTTTAATGATAAATATTACTATTTTAAATATTTTATTTTAATATAAAATATTTTAATAGTAAAACAATATTTTAAATATTTTAAAATATTAATAATAAATATGATGTTAATAATAAACAATATTTGTAAATATTTTAATGCTAAAATAATTTTTTAATGAGAAAAAATCCACTCACAACATTGAAAATTGAACAGCTTTACACTTTTTTAATTATTGATTTTAATTGATTCAAAAAATGAAAGTGATAAGTTGAAGAGAGAAAAAATTATTAAATCCATCTTGAAATCAATTATTAAAAAAATGTCAAATTTTTAATTTTACTTTAATATAAATTAATCCCTCTTTCATTTAAATATTAATATTTTAATAAAAATATTTAATTAGTTATGTCAATATTATTATTTTGAAAAAAAAAAATTTTAAAAATTAACCAAATAACAAAACAAAATATTTTTATTAAATTATCCAAATAACGGAAAATAATACTTTTAAAAAAATATAAACATTTTTTTCAGAAATAGTTTTGTGAAAACTGATTTTTACGAAAACGTAGCTTAAATGTAAAATGATTCAAACAGCAAATCATTCAAAAGAAGTCTGTTTGCAACCAAACTTAATTGAGCACTTTTACATTACTTTCTGTATATCATTTTACCTTCTGATATGGAGTTTGCCATACAAAGCATTTATTTAAGTTAGCATTAAGACAAAAAAGAAAAGAAAAGAAAGGGCAAATATTTACAAAGAAAGTGGATCAGGCTTCAGGCCACCTTCTCTTTACCTCAGATTTCCATCTAACCTCCTTAAGCTTCCCATCTATGCCATAATCTCGCTCCATAACAAGGTTGATTCCCTCATCTGAGTACCATCCAACTCCAATAGTAAGAATCCCATCCTTATTAACATCAACATAACTAGTCACGCCGCCCGGTAGCCAAAGCACTGTAACATCCTGCATGTCTAACATCTCTTCCTCTCTAAAGTACACTGAGCTCTCAGGCGAGCTCCTCTTCTTTAAGGTTTCTGTGCAAAGGTACACATAAGGTGCACCATTGCCTTCTGCAGCTACCGTCTCGTCACCATATATTGGAGTGGCACTAACTTCAAACACCTTCCATGGTCCTACAAGTTCTGACGGTTGGGTTCTTTTCCGTTGAGAAAATGGCTTCAAATCAAAATCCCGGTCACTGTTCAAACTATATATAACACGCTAAATCAGTTTCATCATGAACATTATAAGTCATGGAGATCTCTTATAACTAAGCAAACTTCCATCTGATGCTGATGATTTCACTAGGCATAAAGTCCGACCAACAGTATATGAGATACCACAAACCATTTTAACTTTCAAATGCTTGAATCACAAAACTAAAAACATGCAGCAAAATAATTGAACATCAAAATACAGTTCTGTACATGAATGGAATAAAAGAATACCTTTGATCATAATGATTTGCAGGACTCACCCACTCTTCTTCATAAGTAGCAACTCTCATTATTTGTACATCGGAACCCCCATTACCAAACTCTATTGTATGAACAATACGGAGTCTTTTGTGGCAACCTTTGACCAAACACTGTGCAACAAAACAAACTGAATAACTATCTTCCTTCTGTAAGTAACAAAGTTAAAACAAAACTTACATCTTCCACAAGCCCAACTTTAAGTGGAACACTTTTCTCACATGTTTAAATACAAATTATCCAGAAAATCTCATAAAAAATTTATACCATCAAAGTTTGGCACCATTACCTAGATAAATGTGAGATATAGACTCTTGAAAAAAAAGTCTACCGCAGCCTTTAATCATCATTTCCAATTAAAAAATGACATTTCCCAAAAGATGCCATCAAAATGCATTTCATACTAATAGAGTCAGTTTTCTGGTCTATTACAGCAAAATAATTTGATAAAATAACCAAGACTTTTTTCACCCTAAACTTGGCATAGCACCATGTGTGTCTGTATGAATGAATGTATGCACAATTCAGTTTACTCAAAAATAAATATTAAATATCTTTTGATTAATCAAAATGACAGAAACAATTCCAAGTATCCTTGGCCTAATTATTAATCCACAGTGTTGCATGCTGATTATTGCCAGTAAAATTAAGTGACAGCGAAATTACTGTGATGTGGATTTGTTGCAAATCCTTGGTAAAACAACAAACATGGCATGCAAAACTTACTTGTTCAAATTTAAAAGTTGGAGAAAGGTAATTATTAGAATCATCAATTTCGCCAACAGGAATATCAAGGGGCCCCCTGGAGTAAGATCCATCCTGTGAGTTAACAAATTTGATCAGCAAGTAACGGATGTCAGTAATCAAGAAAAATGTAGAGAAGAAGACATTAATATTATTCACTAAAATAAAAGATAGAATTTAGTTAATTGTTCACATCAGCCAATCAGCATCATCTTTCCTTGAATATTTTAATACACATCTTTTCTAGTAAAATGGTAAACAGTAGTCTAATCTCCTACACAATCAAATCTCATACAATATATTCCAATTTTTTTTCTATTGATCTAGGAAAATCTGTTGCCAATTCATTTTATACACTTATCGATACAAGAGTTGCACATCACACTAAAAAAGAATTGAAAGGATGAATAAATCATTTTCTTCAAAGCATTGTGTGAAAGTCTCTCATTTTATTCCTGGTTTTATAAAAAACGATTCAATATCAATATAGCAATTACTGAAGAAAGGATGAATAAATCATACCTCAAAGAAAACAAGACCAGGTTCATTACCCATGACATCTTCTTCCATCACATCACTAGTTGCCAAGTCAAAAGACTCAAATTTAGGCAAAACATTATTGACCCTACTGTCATTGGCATTTGCTTTCGGAGGTAAAGTTGCTTTCTCAACTCCGGACTCTTCTTTGTTTCTAATGCTGAAACCAATATGTTCTGGAACTTCACCATGTGGATTCAGAGTCAACCAATTTATCATTCTATGGATTTCAGAGGTCTTTCCAGTGAGAGGTGGAACTGCCTCAACGCGAGTCAGCATGTAGCAGTCATATAGGTTTTCATTACTGTTTCCAATTTCAATTGGCTCCATTTCAGCAGTAATAGGTGAAAATACAGCTCCAACCCCCTTCCATATCCCACTGACACTACTTGCAAATGTATTCCATGCAGGTTTTATTACAGGCTCCTGAAAGAACATAAAAACCGAAGAAACAAACAACTAAATTTATTAAGTCTATTTTCACTGAGTGAAACTCTGTGAGACCATTTGCCCCCTCTCTAAAGGTTCTCAAGTCTCAAGTTTCTTTATGGCAAAGGAAAACCAAGCATATTTCTGCATCAAACATGAAAATAAAACATTCTTATGGAAGCCAAAGAAAACTAAAAAGTTCATGTTGGGATTTGCAGAAAATATATTAAAGCACCAAAGAAAAAACAATGACAAAAAATTTATGTCCACACATCTAGAATTTATTTTACATTTCGATAAACTTGAAAATTTAGGAACAATTAAGTCATATTACCTACTTATCATTTTTTCTTTTTTTAAGCTTATCAACAGCACTGAAGAGTGAAGAGCTTCCAAAAAGAAGCTCAAATTAAGCTCTGTTTGAAACACAACCTGATAGTGCTCCTGTTTTGAGCTGGCATATAGTTCAAACGAGCCTTTCAAAACATGTCAAATCCAGCAACACAATATCTATGTCTACAACTAAGATTAAAGTAGAACAAAAACATATCTGAAACTAACTCCATTTTCTGATTTAAGTCATGGTCCACTCAACATTCCCAGCAGAAATCATAATGAGATATTCAGGAAAATAAAATTTGAAATAAAAAAGTACAGTCTTCAATGCCTAATCCAAATTTATTAACAGTTCTCATCATTGGTTCCAATTCCCTAAAAATTATTCTAACAAAAATTCCAAAGGTATAAATATAAGAGCAACTAATGAAGTACCTGAGTTTGGAGAACAGTTTCAACTTCCATTAACATAGCCCCAGACACCAAAACTCTACCAATCTTGCTCTTCCTACCTTTAACAACTCTCTTTCCTTTCCTCCTCTTCTGCTTGGTTCTTTCTCCCTCTTTCTCTTTCTCTGCTTTTGCCATATTATGATCAATGCTCCAAACATTCTCTTTCTGTCCCTTCACTGTCACCTTCCCTTTTGGGCTCGTCTTGTTCTGGCTATTGCCAGGTTTGTTCTGGCTATTGCCAGGTCTGTTCTGGCTTTGGGTTATGAGTCTTATTTTAGAGATCTTTGGTTCAGGAAATTTCGAAGAGATAGACAGGGAGGAGAAGAAGTTTTGAGAATTTGGTTGGTGAAAGTGAAAACCTAGACAATAATTCTTGCAGAGGTGGAGACGTGGTGATTGCATCTTCTTAGGAGACGATGATTTCTACTTTCTACACAGGAATTCCTACAGAGAGAAGAGACAGAGTGAAAGTTATAGGGCCTAATGCATGAGACCCATGCTCAATAGACAATTTAGCTAGCCCATATTCAATTTTCAGCTATGCCCAGACCCAAATCATTGGCCACCACTGATCCAGACCCAAAACTTTCCCGATAGAAGCGACTAGACAAAGCTTACTGATCCAGTTGGCCTTTGACTAGAACCGAAAGGTGCAGAGACATCCCATTCCATCCTCCATGATTATGGGTTTCTTTGTTAGCTGAAAAGTGAGACACCTTTTCTCATGTTCCATACCTTTGGTTTTAAGCTTTTAGTTCAGGCTTTGTTCAAAATTCCCCCCCCCTCCATGTGGTTCTGCTACTTCTCTTCATCTTGCCATTGCTGTATTCTCTTTTTAAACGCATTGACAAAGATTGCAATTGAACGCAACTTCAAGAATACGTTTTCATTACTTTTAATCAAACTATCAATTCAATCTGAATATTCAGAGTAAAATTTGTTTTTCTCGCAATTTACATAAAAGATCAATCTCATTAAAAAAAAGGGTACAGTGTACTCCTAGCCTTACACCCATTCAGGTGATTTATGGGTTTGATTTTGTTGACCATGTAATATATTTTCTTAGATTTTTATGCGCAAACCCACCCTCACCATCGCTTCCTTTTCTGATATATTAACAAATAGTAGAGGGAGCAGATCATGCAACCTGAAAATCTTCACCACTACAACACTATCAATCAGATACAAGGGATCGATCCAACAAAGATATCGATTAAAGAGAGTTTCACACGTTGGATTTGAGCCGGCGAGGAATATAATTAAATCTAAAGAGTTGTTGGCATGGCAGGCATAACATGACAGCCATATCCAAATTTGACTGAATCTAGACTGAATCATGAGGTTATGTTGGGCAATGTTCCCCTTTGGTTAACCGAAATACATTATCTTTTTTCAAACAAAATATATTGTACAAGTACCAATAAGGCAATAACTAATAGAATTCTTAACCCATTTTTAATAATTGAATCAAGAAATTCATATAAGATTCTTTAATCAAATTAATTTTAATCATACTTGCGAGATCCGATCCTCTTAACTTATTATCTTAGCCCAATCTTGTAGGAATTATTTATATATATGGTTACAATGCTATATCAAAGCAGGCTCGTGACAAAACCAAAGTCAAATTGATTTATTTCATTAATTAAGATATTATCATCTATAAGGTCAAAGATTTTGAGAAATGGCGGAATTAAAGAGAAGGGAAGGGAATGGAATTGTAAAAAACATATGTTGTCAACACTTATAATTTCTTGGGTTATACATTTTGGATTTCAATATCAAGCTCATCTAAGTTATAGTAATTTACGCTTGGTGATACAAACAACATGAATTCATTGTTTCCATTCTACTTTAAATTTGAAAGGTTTAGAAAACTAAATTGATACTATAAATATTATTTCATTAAGACTTTTTTTCACTTGCCTTCCCTACTTGCTTTAGTAATATTGCTTGATAATTAACTTTACTTTTGGAAATTGGAATCTTCACTGGGTTTTTAGGTGTTGTGATCACTTGACTGAAGCTGCTTACTGGTTTGATGGATTCCAAGTTTTACTTTTTCTTGAGAAGGTGTTTGAATTTATCTACTCTGGCTGGCTTCAGTTTCTTGGTGAACAACCTTGAGTTAATCCTCTTGGCTTTTAGTATCTTGGCAGGGCTTTGCTTATATTTAGTTCAAACTAAATGATACCATATTTTTATAGTAATATATAAGAATTAAATTAAAGGTAATATTAACATCAATGATAATGATAACTGTCCTTATTAATTTCTTGACGATGTATAACAAATTTAGAACCATACATACATACATACATATATATATATATATATGAAGTCTAAAAGGCCTAATTGAGCAATAATTTGGTTGAGTTACAAAAACTTTAAAGTTCCATGTGTGTGGGAAACCATGGCAAGACCCGAACGGCTTGTTTACAAGTTTGGTCCTAGTGACCACGATTGTTTTGTCCTCGAGCTTGTTGTCCAGCCAAAGGTCCCAACCATCATGGTGTCATGCTTGGTTGGAATGAAAGATTACACTTTTTGGATAGCTTTACCTAACACTACTCTTGAAACCTTTTGCCAATTCCAAGTTGCCAATGCCTTTTTTCGACTCGATTCGGCAACCTGTGCTTAGTGCTTACATACGTTAGTCCTCACAAAGTCACATGCATTGGTTACTCTTAGGATGGTGGAAGATGAATAGAAAGATCCCTATCTACAAAATCTTTTTCTTTATCTTTTGTTCGTTTCCCTCTTTAAGTCACAATTATTTGAGATATGAAGGGTTAGCCTAATAGTTCTGATTCGGTCCTTACAACTTTTTTCAATCAATTATAAAGTTTCAGCGTATCTTTCATGATTGTTTATTCATGCATTTCACTCATATGAGTCGCTGCTTTCATGTCCATATATTAAGGTTATGATAAAAGCATCAAGTGGATGAAACCATGTTAAAGAGGAAACGTTTAATTCATTTTTTAATGACCATATAGTCGAGAATTAAGTGAAATTGGGGTTTAGTTCTTAACGTGCAAGTCCCAAATTAAAGTTCCTAATAATAAAAGAAAGAAAAAGGTTTCCTGAAAAGCTTGCTTTTCTAGTCCATTCAAGTATTTACATGCAAGTTTGCGACCCACGTAAAGGCCAGCACAACTTTGTCGGGAGAGGGAGAGCCATGCGTGTGGACCATGACCCTAAAGTGGTGGTATTTTTCATATCAAATCAAAAAGAAAATGTATTTTTTTATTATTTATGTTTAAATTAGTTGAAAGATTATAAAAAATAATTTTTATAAATTTATTAAATCTAACGTAAATAAATTTATTTAAATCAATAAAAATAAATAAATAAACCTAAAATTCTCTTACCGTTAAATAAAAAAAATTCATACTACAAATGATGTTACTGTGGGAGGTTGGGGTCCCACATAAATGAATTTTGCCTTGGTCCCTTCCCACCCAAACATGCCATGTGACATTTCTCTCTTTTTTTCACTAGGGCATTTTTGTCCTTCTGCCCCATTCTTATTTCCCATTTCATTTTCCGCTTTCCTCTGTAACGGGAAATCATTATAATGTTTATTATTCCTTGGACATGTATGTACGCTAAATGAAAATTCTAGCTAATTAACTTTGAGGAATGACTTTAATATATGTATTTAAGTGTCACTTATCCTTGAATAAGTTATATATATTATTAGAATTGATAATTAAAAATAACGAATTTAAGAGAATTTATATTTATAATATCTTCTTTAAATAAGTAAGTAATAAAATAAAGAATTTAAAAGTAAATTAAACTCTTAAAAAAACTTGTTTAAGTATTCTAAATAATTTATCTGAAAAAGTATTTCAAATAATTAAAAAAAATTCAAATGATCCCTAACAATTCTAAATAAAAAAATAAAAAATTTAATAAACATAAATACATTAGTTATGTGGCTAAATAATTAAAGCTAAAAATTTTATTTTATGTACATAATTTTTAAACTAAAAGAAAAGAAAAAAATAGAAGCGAAAAAAATTGCTTAATATTCGAAAATCCAATTTTAAACCAACAAGGCAACAACTTTACATCTTTGAATAAATATATTAGTATTTTTTTTATTAATCCTAAATCCTAACTTGTAGTATTTTCTTTAAAATATATATTTTTGCCGATGATAAGTTATTAATTTCTTTGCACTAATTATTTTCAAACTTGATTTTTTTTTAATAATTTAAACTTGAATTATTTTTTCTGCATTACATGAGTATATATATATATATATTATATTTTGATAAAATAGATTCTTTTCTAAATAAAATAGTATTATAAAAATTTGCACAAATAAATATAAACCAAGTGACAAGTTGTCTTAATACCAAAAAAGCCCCTGAAGGAAATACCTAACTGGCCGAACCACTGTTTCCTTTCCCACTAGAGGCAGTTCTTTAAAGCACGACCGTCGACCGGTGAGCTTTCACTCTTTCAGGATCCGTACCTCACCTTAAAAAAGTGGGCAAAAAGGGGAAAAGGAAAATTATCAATTGCATAAATTAAAAAATTAGTGGAAACTAAAAGGGAGGGGGGGGGGGGGGGTGTTACCTAATTAACTCCCCTTCGTTTTCGTAACCTCCGTTTCTCTTCTCTTTAAAATCGCAACCCCCCCCCCCCCCCCCCCCAACTCCTCTCTCCAAACAACCTCCCTAAAAACCGAAGAAGATAGAGCTCCGTGGCTTGTAATGGATACCGTCTTGTTTTAGATCTCGAAACCCTACCGTTTTTCTTTTATCATTTAAAGATTCTCTAGATTTTTCTCTCAAGATTCTTTCTAATTTTTTTTTTCAAGAATCTAGTTAGCCACTGATCGGAGCTTGACTTTGCTCTGCTTTTCGAAGCTATATTGGCTTAATTGTCTTCGCGACCTAATTGAACTTTGTTTCTAACGAAGAAATTAACATTTAGGTTCTGTTTGATTCAGTTCTGACCGGTTTCGATGCGGTCACCTTCCGTTTTTACCTGCGTTTTACGTTCTTATTCATTGTGACCGAGTTGCTGTTTGTTTGGTACTGTTTGGATTTGTTTCTCTTACTTACTTAACATTTTCCTTCGTTTAAGTAAAATTCGAATGCGTTTTCTGTTTTTTAAATCGGAGTTTGATTCAGTTTCTCTTATCTCATTGATTACAGTTGTGGATTGTGGAGAAGGTGTTTGTTAGGGTTTCTGGAGAAGAAAGGTTGAAAGAGAATGGAAATGATAAAGTCTTTGTGAAAGGAGAGAAGGCGATAGAAGAGAAGACGTGATAATGGACGATAGAGGAGCTTCATTCGTCGCTGTTAGGAGGATTTCTCAAGGTCTCGAGCGAGGCAATACCTGCCATTCAACTTCTGGTAACTAAGCTCTAATTTCCAATCCTTTTTTTCTTTTTATTTTCCGTGTTTCGCCTTTTTTTTTTTTATAAAAAATAAAAATAAAAATAAAAATAAGAATATTTTTTATGTACTACACTGTAAATCTCTCTCACCTCTCTACTTTCGAGTCTTTAGAATTTTTTTATGACTCTTCTATATTCTCTAAACCTTCTTTCTCTCTGAATCTAGATGACCTATTTTATTTCTCTTTACTCAAAATTTTCTCTCTCTCTCTCTCTATCTCTCTCTCTCTCTCTTTTTCTGTGAGTAAATTACGGATCTCCAAAATTTGAACTGTGAGGTATAGTGAGCTTTGAGTGTTGCCAAAAACGATCCCTAACTTCATGTGTGCTGATGCGCAAATTTGTTTTGGTTAGTTTGTTCATTGATGTACTGATTATTTTTGCCGAGACATTCTTCTTTGAATTTTTGAAAATTTTGATTGTTTCAATGAATCCTTTTTTCTTGGTTTTCATGTTTTTTGGCATTTATCTTTAATAATGATTTCATACTCTAGAGGTTTGAAATTTATATGTCATGAGGAAATTTCATCCGATTTTTATAGTAGTTTACACTTTACAGGCAAACCTAAATTAACGGGCAAAGTTGCATGGCTTAGTTACTCTGTTGTTTGGAACATTTTGCATGAAATTGAAAAAGTAAAGTGATCTGATAAAGTATAAAGCCAATTAGTTGTGATTTTGTTTCTTCATTTATCTTAAAGAGTGCTTTTGATACTTTCGCGATTGAAAATTGTTTGCATTTCATTCTATTTTGGTTCTGAGATCTGCGGAATCTAACCTAATTTTCATGCCACTCTATTCTGCAAATAGATCGTGCCTCTCTTATATAGAAGCCATTCATCAATTCATTTCAAGGCTGCCAGAATCATGCTTGATTAAGTTCTCATAGATCGATTCTCAGCTCTTTCCTTCATGTTATATTAGGTGCACTTTTTGTTCATGGTTCAAAACTTGCTTAGAATTTCAGCATTTAGGATTTAAAATCTTTGTCATTTGTGTAGAAGAAAAGTTTGGGCCTAAGATAAAATCATTTCACTTCATATCATTTTTGTATCTCTCTTGTTAATTGGTTTTACAGCTCATACTTAGAATGAAGATTTACTACTTTCTTGGTAGGGTAGCAAATGCTTAGCTTTCCTTTTTGCTATTCTAATCTTGGTTGGAGATAGATGGCTGGCGTTTTTTTCCTATTTGCATTCTCTCTCTCTCTCTTTCTCTCTCTCTTGCTTCTATTAGCTGATGAAGTGAACCATCTCTTAGAATCTTTTGTTGTCTTAGGTACTGCTACTTTTGAAATTGTTAAAGAAGTGAAATGGAGATTTAGTAACTGCATTTTCATTAGTGATTTTCATAAGTAAAGTGTTTTATTTTGTTACAGCTGAGGTTGTGGCAGGATCAACAGCATGGTTGGGTCGAGGTCTTTCTTGTGTTTGTGCACAGAGAAGAGAGAGTGATACTCGTCCATCATTTGATTTAACCCCTTCCCAGGTAATGTTTTATGATCTGACCAATCTATGGATCTCTACCTGTCAACTTTGATGTTTATTTGCGCATTTCACATGTAATGTATAACTTCTTATCCTCTAAGAAATAGAAATATGATGATAGGATCTCTCATGCCCTTTCCCTGCTACTTGGTATGCCATTAATTGCTTTAACTAATGATATTTCCCAAGTTGTTTAATGCTAACATCTGATCCCAAACTTTCTAACCCAGTCAACTTTGATGTTTATTTGCCCATTTCATGTGTAATTTATAACTCCCTATCCTCTAAGAAATAGAAATATGATGACAGGATCTCTCATGTCCTTTCCCTGCTCCTTGGTATGCTATTGATCGCTTTAACTAATGATGTTTCCCAAGTTGTTTAATGCTAACATCTGATCCCAAATTTTGTGTTTAATCTCTACTATTTGATTTTAATCCCTTGTTTTATCAGTCCTGCATGTCCTATGGATGTCATTTTGTGACCTTACAATCCAGTCACTTATTGAAAGGGTGATCAGGGTGGTCTTCTACTATTAAATATTGAGGACACTTGTGACTCAATTGGTTTCATTACAAAAATCACATATGTAGGTAATAGATCATAATAACACTTCTTTTGCAACATGATTACTTAAATGGCACTCCAATCACTTGAATCTTGGGATTGTTTAGCAAAATTATTGAAGTATGAAAAAATGGCATGCTCCTATATTAGCTGTATGAGTTTGTTTGGTTGGTTAGTTCTTGTTTTATCATCAGCCTTGCATTTTCCCATTTCTGCTAAGCTGGCATATCTGTCAAGCATCATGTTGATTGATTTTCTTAGAAAATTTCAATTTTCCTCTGTTACTTTACATTTACTGGAACAAAAATTAATCTTGGGATTCATGCTGTCAGGAGGAATGCTTGCAGAGGCTGCAGAATCGTATAGATATTGCCTATGATAGTTCAATCCCAGAGCATCAGGTACCCCGTTCTGAATGATGCTATTTACACTTGGGGGTGCAATTTGAAATCTATAATATTCCATCCTGATTTATGAGGGTTATTTTCTAATTCATTATTGCTGCTTTTCTACAGGAAGCTTTAAGGGCCTTGTGGAATGCTGCATTTCCAGAAGAAGAACTACGTGGTTTAATATCTGAGCAGTGGAAGGAAATGGGGTGGCAGGGGAAGGATCCATCGACAGATTTTAGGTAGCGTAGATTCCTTTTATTTCTCCTTGTTGCTTGTGCATTTTCTCTTTCTTTAAATGACTATCTTTTTGGTAGGTACTTGTTAATATTTGGATTTTTGTCACAGGGGTGGTGGTTTTATATCATTGGAGAACCTGTTATTCTTTGCTAGAAATTTTCCAGTATGTGCTTTTACTTTTCTGCTGTTGCTTGATTCACAATGTCTTGCTTTCCTTAGTTTTCTCCAGTATTTTGCATGCTCATTTTGTTTGGTTTTTCTCAGCTATGATGTTTGAAAATAGGAAATCTAAAGGGGTTCTACCAATTGAATTGCTATGATGCACGCAATGAATAAAGTTAAATAACTATAGATGTAAATGCAAAGGTGAAGGTAAAAAAAAGGAGGGAATTACTTTAGCTTAAGTAATTAGATAACAAAAACAGCTATTTCAAAATGATCATTAACTTTCATGATTTCTGGGAATGTATTTCTTTTACATTTTCTTTACTTTAAAATCTAGTTTTGCTCGTTCACTAACTTTATCTTTTGATCTTTCTTTGTTCATCCAATGCTAAAGTGTATCTTAAATGCAGAAATCCTTCCAGGATCTCCTTTGGAAACAGGAAGGTGATCGCTCTGTGTGGGAATATCCATTTGCTGTGGCTGGTGTGAACATCACATTCATGCTCATTCAGATGCTTGATCTTGAAGCAGGTATGTATCCTTGAAAATAGAGGTGATGTGCTAGAATCCTTTTCTGGCATCTATACTAAATACTCTTTCTGAAGGACAGATCTCCTGAGTACTCAAATTCTCTGTTTTCAGACAACTGATTTTTGTTTCTATTCGATGATTGTTTTCAACAGCACAATTTTTCCTGTCGAGCAGTGAATTCGAGTCCTATTCATGTGTGGATATGTGTCAATTTAAGCCATTCTTATTTTCTTTGCTAAGCATTTACATTAAGATTGCTATTTGATACTTTTCATCAGTTAACAGTGTGCTTCAATTCTACAGTCAAACCAAGGACAATTATTGGAGCAATTTTCTTAAAGTTCCTATCAGGTATTGCCAGTTTATTCTAAGTTTTTGAACTTTTGTCGTTTAGAATATTTTCATGGAAGTTTATTCACTATTACTAGTATTTCTTTTCGAGTCCTTTAGACCTTCAATCTAACTTTTTTGTTTGTGCTTTTTTGCCTTCGGTAGAAAATGAATCAGCGTTTGATCTTCTCTATTGCATCACATTCAAGTTAATGGACCATCAATGGCTTTCCATGCGTGCATCGTACATGGACTTCAATGTTTGTATTCTTCAACCAGAAACTTCTTTTCGGATATGGATAATAGGGTGATAAATAAACGAAGAAGGCAACAAATTTTATACCCTGATCTAACCTTCTATTACTACTGCGTTTTGTTGCGTCATCATAGTGCAACAGATCAGCATGATCATTTATTGAATCATTCTTTCTCTGGCATTTGGTTTTACAGACAGTGATGAAAGCTACCCGTCGTCAACTAGAGAGGGAGCTTCTGCTCGAAGATATAACACGGCTGGAGGATCTGCCCTCATACGGTCTTCTTACGCGATAATATTAGCGGCTGAAAGACTAAACAAGTGTTTCTGTGATGGCAAGAGCCAAGATGCGTGCTATGAATTAGACACGTCGCCTTCCTTTCACCAGATGTCTTTTAAGATAGACTAGATAAATGTACATGTGCTTTTTTCAAACAAGTGGTAGTGGTGTTCCCTTTTTATTTTTCAGAAAAGAAGGATTGCCGATTTTTATCTGGACATAGGAAGAAAGCTTAAGTATCGAAGAGTTTGTTAGGTTGATATCAACGATTCAATCAATTATTTAAAGCGCGCTTGCTTGGTATCATTCTGGCACGAATTCCCTGATTGGTTTCAATTCCACCAATGCGTGCCTTCAAATTAACCTTACAATTTACCATGGAAACTCTGTATTCGCCTGCCTGCCTGCCTGCTTTGCGAGGTCAAGCAAGCGAAACCATTGAAATTTAGAAGGATAGCCATTCAAAGCCTTCTGAAGCATAGAAAATGGGCCAATACAAGAGAGTGATTTGTCTACCATTGGCCCGCTACTAATACCTTGCCCAAGCAGCTCTTGTGACAATTCACCTCAACATTTATTCTGATTCATCCTGCAGTTTCTGGTAGATGAATTAATTAGCCCCCATCCTTCAATGATACAAATGAGTTGCATAAATCATGAGATGAACTGCCACATACTAATGGAAAGCCTCAAGATCACCCACTACCCACAGCATTCAAACATCAGTACCTACTGAAATTCTAATCATACAAACCAATATAACCAGATGCTACAAAGTTTCAGCACTTGATTCACAATAACATACCACCACGAGTGCATAAAAATACCGGCATCAGACAAACATCTTAAACAGTACCATAGGCAAGAACGCCATCATCAGACCATAACAAAGTCAAAACTTGATAAAAAAAATTCAATAACAAGAAGCAAACGGAAATGGGATTGGGATGATGCCATGATGGGTAATTGCTTAGACCAAAAAATCTACTCATAGATCCAGGGGTGAAGGCAGCTCTGCCAGTTAAAGGGGCATTCGGGGAACCACAAGGCAATTTCCTTCCTTGCACTCTCAACTGAATCACTTCCGTGAATCACATTCCTGCAAAAAGAAGCCCAAATCAACACATATTGCTATGAAATAGTGTGGTAAAGACAATACAACTAAATTCAAAAAGGTGTGCATTCTAATACTTGAATGGAAAGAAAGGAGACTAATTGTACCTGCCAATGTCAATTGCAAAGTCACCACGGATTGTTCCAGGGGCAGACTCAGCAGGGTTTGTGGCTCCAATGATCTTGCGACCAGTGATAACAACATTCTTACCCTGCCAAACCATAGCAATAACTGGACCAGAGATAATGTACTCTACGAGCCCATTAAAGAAAGGCTTTGCAGACAAGTCTGCATAGTGCTTCTCAGCAAAAGATCTTTCCACATTGATGAGTTTCAACCCTAAATTAGACACATCCAATGTCGGATAAGTAACATTCCACTTAAAATTGTATAGAATTAATAATTTCAATAGATTTAGAAATCCACCATCCATTTCGTCTGTTGAATTCAAATATTACTGAAGCATTGAGAACTCTCAATCATCCTTTAAGGTACTTAAGAAACGTTAATCAATTTAAAAAAAAAAAAAAAACTCAGAAACCAACAGTCAGGAATATAATGACATGGGTAAAAGCAGAGAAAATTATTAGCGAAATGATAGATTTACCTTTCAAATAGAAGCCTTTCTTCTCAAATCTGCTAATGATTTCACCAACCTGATAAACACAAAAAAGTTTCTCATTTTTAATCCACAATCGAAAAAATAAGGCGCTGCATTAGAGAAAGCGAGAACCTTTCATAAGCTCCATATATAGATTTTTTAAAAATTCATTTCAAAAGGTCTTCGATTTTATCTCCTCAGCATGCAAAAGATTGAAAAACAACTAAAATCAAGATTTGTGTAATACTTTGTATAAGTTAAAACTAAGAAGCCTGTCACTTTCTTTCCATCTCAATATTTTACCAGGCTGAAGACATCAGGCCGAAATCAGAAAGAGTAAAGTAGAAGCAATACCAGGCCTCTCTGGACCCCATCAGGCTTGATCATAATGAAAGTTTGTTCCATCTCTGAGTGTTTGTTGTCTTCTTGTTCTCTCTCAGCTTTATGAGAAAAGAAGAAGAGAGGTAAGGCCTTTAAATAAATAAATACACGTACACGGCCAACCCTAGTTTCAACAGAATATCGGATTCGTGCTCTTTGGCTATTTTGTTTAAATACAACTTGACTTCTTCGCTCTGTTTTTCCGCCTTTTTGTTTTATTGACCAAATTATTACCATAAAGAAACTTTATTAATTATCAAACAACACTTGTCATTTCAATATTTCAATCTTCCGATTCGGACACAGCGACATATATTTGTTCACACGTGGTTTTATTTATTTGTTCAGTTGATTTTTCCGTCTAATATATATATATATATATCTTGTAAAAGAACCTTTTTTAGGCGCAAATTGCAATTAAAGTGATGACCACCTATAAATAGTAATTTTGTATAGTTATCCGATATATTATATAGTAAAATTTTTATTTACAGTATTACTAGAATGATTTGCTATAATATCTTTTGTAATAAATCTCTATTTTTTTTTACTACAATGACTATTACAGTGATGTTTTATCTTTTGTTACAATGATTGTTACAGTTAACTGTTAATCATTAATGTCGAATGAAATTTTATCTTTTTTTGTCGATTGTTTTTTTGGTTTATTCTGGTTTAAAATTTGCACAATTTATCTTTTTATAACATTGGTTAAGTTATGAAATTCTTCATCATTTTTTGTTAAATTAATTAAAACATTTTTATCAGGGATAAAATAATTATCAAAAACAATATTTTGGTTTAATTTTTTGTAATTAATAATCATAGGAAATTTACCTCATTTAATCTTAGAATGATTTCTTACCAAGAATGCTGGACTGAAATTTAAACTGATAGTTAATTTTATCAGACCTTTATCAAGTAATTCTGAAATTTAAACTTCAAATTTATCTATATCTTATTTGGTATTTACTTAAATATTAGGGTAAAGGCATTTTCATGTAAAACTTGTCGGAAACACCTTAATGGTGCGTAAGGATTTGGCGTATAGAATCCAAGGAAAAAGAAACATTGACAAGCCAATTGACAGTCGACAGAGAATGCTCTTCTAAAAAGGACAGAAAATTAGTTTATAACTAAAGCCGACGTTGAAACTTTAAGGACTAAGCTAAGAGGCTGGTTGATATTGATAAAAGCAAAAATGGAGATGTTTCATTCATCATCCCCCCCCCCCCCCAAAAAAAAAAAAAAACAACACCAAAAAAAAAGGGGTTTATGATTTCAAGTAATAAGAAAGTAGAGATATGGCTGTACAAATTGGTCTGAAGACATCATCATCAAAGAAGTCTATCCAGTATCATATATGATTTCAATTCAGAGGTTCAACCTAATTCACTTGATCCAGTACAGACTTAAGGATCTAATATGGAGTACAAAAAGAAAACACGGTGAAAACCAAAGCCTTCATAACAGATGCATTTTGGCCAAAGTTCCAAAATCACTGTAATAGCTCATACAACCATACACTTAGCTTAACAAGTTGAAAAGGGAATATCAAAAGAGAGAAAAAGAAATGGCAGCTATATCCAAACAGAAACGACCCTTGTGACACACCAGTATGGCATAGTATAATCATTCTTCAAATAGGCTTGATCTTGAAGTGGAGTGAGATGAGGGAGAATACGAAGCACTTCAAGTCCTGCAGTAACAAAAAATGGCAATAAGACCAGAGAATAGAAATAGATAAGCAGAAGGCAGTAGATCCAATAAACTATAGCCTGTTAAATATCAGCACAACAAGAGTTACTACACATATAAGAATCAACATCTATGTATCAGTGTATGCATGAGCACAAGGAATCCGATAAACTACTGAAGACAACATTTATAAAGCTCTTCCACCTCTTGGAACAAGTCTGGTCAGATTCCAAGCATAACAAGGCATCTAATCTGTATTATTAGGCACTGGGGGTGGTAAGAATATCAAATGGACCACCCTTATGTTTGATCCAATATGGATCCTAACTAATTTTGTAGTTCTTTTCAGATAGACATTTGAAAGAAGAGCAAAAATAAACATTAGTCTTGTCTTTCAGTATTGCAATTTAAAAGCAAACATGAAAAAAAAAAGTGCCAAAGCTGAAACAAATTAACAACAATCAGTCAAGAAGCATCCATCATTGAAATCAAAATCATCTTTGTTTCACATTACCGTCACAGACAACATGTGAGGCAACAAACAAGAAAAGTAGAAACAGGAAAACCATATCCCCATACTCAATGATACAATACAAAAGCCAAAAGGGGGGCTCCGGACATGGATGAAAGCAATAAAATAGCAGATTGACAATATATATTAACTGACCTGAACCAGATAATAAAATATGCGAAGCCCTTCAGGATCCTTACTGCTCTGAACATCGACAAGTGACCCAATCTTTGAAGTAGTGAAAGAGATATGCTCATTCCCCATCACAATCTCAAGCTCCTGCCGTCCAACACGGTCAGGCTCTGGCCAGTTGTTATCATCTTCCTTCATGATCTACACAAAACCAACAGATTTTAACTGTATCAGAAACCATAAAACAACAAAAATTGCAAATATAAACCCTACAGAGCATTACAAGAAACAGAAATTACCATAAATCATAGAAATAATCAATTATCAACTAAAAGCTAAATCTTTTAACTTATCAAAGAAGAAGATAATGTGGTAAGGTTTTCACTTATAAGTACCAAATAGCAGTAAAACCCAGAACCCAGCAGGAAAAAGCACGCAATTTGAAAAGCTAAAAGTAGTAAAAACAGAAAATAAAATTAAAAAAATAATAATATCAATGAAAATCGGAACACAACAAATCCTAAATCCTTATTAAAACAAAACATTGAGCAAACAAGAAAAAAAACCCAAATTTCCATACAAATAAGATGACTAATTTCACTAATGTTTCTGTAAAACCCTAGGAAAACTTGAATTCCAGAAAATAAGCTGCAAAAGATTAAGGAAAAGGATAGAGAACCTCGCTCTCGGCGATGATGCGGCGGCATTCCTTGAGAACGGCAGGGGTGAGGAAGACCTCTTTACGGATCATGGTGTCGTTTTTGTAGTTGGAGTTGTTAGCATATCGGAGCTTCCCATCTGGCCTGAACTCGAACTCCAAAAACTCGTGCCCGAATTTCCCTTTATGCCCCACGTAGTAACGGAGGTAAAACTCTCCGCTTTCCTCTTCGGCCGCCATTGTTTTCCCTCTGTGTGTCTCTCAGATTCTTGACTACACAGTAACGTAAACAAAGAACATGACTCCTATCAAAGGGATTTTGTGGATCTCTCCATGGGTCAGTGTGTAAATATATTTGAGTATTTGTCGACTCATTTGGCCCACTCAAAATACAGTTCTTGGGCTATCGATCTTTGGTTTGGTCTGGGCTTTTAGTCATTGTCTTGCCTACACTTAGTTTGATTAAGAATGACAACGACGTTGATATTTCGCAGCCTCACGGAGACTGACATACGCTGGGTGATTTTATTTTATTTTTTTAAATTTACTGAATGCTGATAATAATATCTTACTTAAACTTGATATACGAAAAAAAATAATTTTAAGATTATAATTATAATTATATATAAATTTAATAAAATAAAAATATATATTTAATTTTTTATGTAGATATAAATTATAATACGTAATTTTTATGTAAAATAAAATATGAATACATAAATTTTAATATTTTATATGATATAAATATATAAATTATCAATTCTAATATTATTGAACCTAAAAATAAAAACTACATTCGTTACAGTCAAGTTGTTATTGTCAAGTGTGCTAAAAAAATTCTCTTAAACTTTAACTGAAATTTGACTAACTGGGTTTAGTTGTGACTTTGTAGACTCAATTGATATAATTATATAGGTCCAATTATTTTCAAATTAAATTAATTTCGTGAGTTGAGTTTATAATAATTTTCAACTGAATTTAATTTGCAATTTGCTGCTTCAAGCATTCAATTCAACCATATTTTAATGCATTTGTGTTCTTTTTTTTTTTTTTTTTTTTTTTGGGAAAGACATGTTTGAAACATCCATATATGAGAGTGAAGCAATTAATTGGTATACATCAGAATTTGAGATTTTTAATTAAAAAAGTTTATACTAGAAGAAATGATAGGATTCATAAATGATATGATCATCAAGGTCAATGCATTTAGAAAAATAGGGTAGGGTCCTTTCTGTCTGATCATAAGGTAAAAACATCTTTTATCATAAATTAAGCTAAATTATTTAGCAGACCAAATAAACATAAATCTACAACTCTGGTTCATAAGGGGAAAAAATCACACAGATAATGAAGAAAACAAAAGCAAATAAGCCAATAACAATAGCACTGCCTCTCCCCTAGCTCATAATTGCAAGGACGGCCCCCAACACGAGTGAAAAGCCTAGCATCAAACCGTTATTCGTGATGCTTGGTGCTACGCTAGGCGGTGGCGGCGGTGATGATGTCGAGCCACTTGGTGGTGTCCCTGAAGGAGTAGTTGAACCAGATGGAGGAGATGTGGTGGGAGGCGTGTTGCCACTGGCTGCTACAACATTGACGGCTAGCTTCATGCCTCCAGCACAGTGTCCTACGGTGGGGCATATGAAATACATTGGTCCTGTATTAGACAAAGTGATTACTGTGTTTCCATCGCTGTGGGTTTTGAGAGCATTTCCGGAGTTGCAATTATCATAGTCACTTTGGGTTACTTCATCCAGGCTGTGGCTGCTATCATAGTTGAACACTGTTGAGAAATAAAAGGGATCGTATTTTTGGTTAGTCCAATTAAATTGAACTGCTTTGAAACATATAACTGATAACTGACTTTGGTAAGCAACTTACAAAGTGTGTCGCCTACGGTGAATGTTTTCCCTTGAACCCAAGTCGTGTAATCCCCGGTGGTGGTCCAGCCAGTGCTGTCTCCTACGGTGTATTGCACGGCATAAGCCGCCGGAGTCGCCACCAGAAGAACGAGAAGAGCAGCCGCTAAAGCCATGCTTACTTTTAGAGAAGGGAAACGAGGACAGCAAGGGAGCTCTTAGCACGTTATATAGAAGGATGAATTTAGGAAAACTTTGGACAATAATTTATAGAAGCAAAAGTCAAGCATTTTCTGTTGTATTCTTACTAAAACCATAATAATTGTTAGATTAATATGTATATTATTCTATATCTTGTCCTTCACCAAATCAATTTGAAAATATATAGTATATGGCTGCTTTTTCTCTTCTGAATTCAGTCAAAAAGCTTATGGTATTGGTGGGTTTGGCTCTGAGACTGCTTTATAAACTTTGCTGTCTCACTTTTGTAAATTAATGGGGTGAAAGTTATTAAAAATTTACTCAAATATATTGGATCAATGGCTGTTCTTTCTTTCAATTCCATTCTTGTCTAGTAGATCTTAAACTATGATATGCCCCTCTTGTAGAATATCTGGCTATATATATATATATATATATATATATATTGATTAAAGTGGACCTAAATCATCACTTGGCTGGTTCCATTAAACAGTTGGAGAATTAAGTTGCCTAAATGAGACTGGTTGAACTTATCTATCATTTTTATTTATGCAACGACTAATTCTGTAAACCTAACCCCGTTGGCCATTACATCACCTAGGCCAATGTATATTTATTTGTATATAGAAGCCAAGCTGAAGAGAATATAGAAAGTATTCAATGAATAAGTTAGTTCCCCATGCCTTTCATTTTAAACATTTATTATTATTATTATTTTTTATTCATCATATCTCTATAGGATACCGGATTAGTTAGCATGAACCCACTATCACTCCTTTTCAAATTTATTAAAGTTTTGGAGTATTAAGATATGATATAATCACGTACTTTGAAAATAAACAGTGAAAGAGTTGGTGGGTTTGGTGAAACATTACGTCGTTGTACCAACAAATTATTATTGATTTAATTGATTAAAATTATTAAAATTTTAAATTTAAATTTTATAGATAATTATTTATTAAAATTATTTTTAATATATGATTTATAATTATTTATATTAAATTATTAAATATGATATATTTTATTTTAATTTAAGAGATTAATTAATTTAACTATCAAATTTGTTCTTACAAAAAAAAAATTCCGTCGTTATATTATTCACAACAATCGATGACCTGCAGTTTTTATTGTCTATTTGAACAATTTGGGACGGCAAATAAAGCGAAAAAAAGCAATCTCATCAGGCGTCTTAAGAGAAGCATCCCAAATTCAACCGCGTTTATGAGGGTCAACATTAGAGGCCAAACTTTATAGAAACCCAATCCAGAGATGCTAAGTCAATAGTTCCTATCCCCTTTGAGAGCCAAATTCTTCAACCCAAAACGCGTTACGAATCAGAATTTGAGCTGTACACACAATCGGTTTGGTGATGACTATCTTGCTCACTACGTGAAATTTAAGGGAAGGTTGAAACTTGAAAATATATATATATATATATATATATAAATGATTTGGACATTCTCTTCATAATTAAGTGATCATGAGGGTTCGATGTAGAGTAAATATCTCAAGTTTTAATTGCATACTCTTAATATTTTGTTCTTCTCCAAGCTTAACTGTATAGTTAATTAAATACATGCATATATTTTTTTTTTATGAGAATAGATTAATTTATTTAGTGTAATTTTTTAAAATTTACATATTATTTTAACATAATTTTAATAGATTCAAATTCTGAGATTAAATATATTTTTTTAATTTTTACTTATTTTTGTCATCTTTTGACTTATTAAAATCAATAATTACAAAAATGTATAAAATTTTTTTAATTTTACATTGTATAAGTTGATTCCTCCTCATTTTATATATAAATATAAATATATATATATATATATATAATGAGAAGAAAGATTCACTTATAATAGTGTAATTCTTACACTTTTTAGATCTTTGGATCAAAATTATTAAATTTAAAAATATTAATTGATTCAAATGAATTATGAATTTAATTTTGATTTAAAGATAAAAAAATTATAAGAATTGTAATATATGGTAGTAATATCTTTTTTGAAAAATATTCATCCCATCATTAATTTATACAATGTAATTTTTAATTTTACATATTGTTTTAACTTAATTTTAATATATTCAAATTATGAGATTAAATATAATTTTTTATTTTTATTTATTTTTGTCATCTTTTGACCTATTAAAATTAATGATTAAAAAATATATAAAACTTTTTTTGTTTTACACTTTGTAAATTGATTTCTCCTCATTTTATGTATATAGAGAGAAGAAAGATTCATTTATAATAGTGTAATTCTTACACTTGTTAGATCATTAGATTAAAATTATTAAATTTAAAAATATTATTTTGATTCAAATGAATTATGAATTTAATTTTGATTTAAGGATAACAAAATGATAAGAATTTTAATATATACACTTATGGCTGATTTATTCTCATTAGAAAAATATTGTAGTTATTTTTTTTTTTTAAATATTCATCCCATCATTATTTTATCAAATATTTGTACTCCCTGTCATGGTATATATAATTATTAGTTTGATTATTAATTGAGTTACCCATGAATTAGTAGATTCCACTTTTCAATTTATCCGGTGAATACAAATATTTGAGACGAAAGCAAATAGTTTACTCTTTTTTTTTTTTGGAAAGACATAAAACTATGATTCTTGATTGGTTGGACTCGGACGTTTTTGTTCAGCATCCTACCTGGACGCTAGCTATGGGCAAAGAGTTGGTTCATCGACATTGTCATCCGCGGCCTGGCTCGAAATGAAGCAAATGACAAGCCCGCAGAGAAAGAAGGCCCTGATGCAGCAGGAACTAAGAAAACCTCTTTGCAACTGAAAATTGATTAAATTGGTAAAATGGCAGTGAGATAAACAGTATAGAAAAGTTGTGCTATCAACTACGACATTTGGCAGTGCTATCAAAGCTTAACTTTATCACATCTATGTAATTTAGTGAAATCCACACTTGAGAAAGAAAACTATTATTTAACCAACAATCATACATTGTACAAGCCATCACCATTAGCAAGTGTAGAAATGAATGATAACCTCTAATGAGGTTTGGTTCAGAAGAAATAAGTTTGCAACTGACGTGTTAAGAAACATGTAACCTTACACGCCACGAGAGGCAGCATACTGGAGAAGAAATAGAGCTTCCTAATACATCAACTTTTTTTAGGAAGTGCAGCAGCCACTCTTTTGTGCAACAGGCTGTCCTCGGATCTGTACTGTTGGAGGCCTTGCATTGTTCATGGCTGGTTGGCTTGCCATTCTGCATTCAGAAGCAATTTTAAGGAGCAGTAAAACGCACAAAAGTAACTGACAATCCATAGGAACCTAGACTTTGAGGTAAATTTCACAGCAACAAGCTTGTTGATCTAGATGATTTTTGTTTAAGATTGAATAATAAACCTAAACAGCCTAGGCATGCCATTTAACTGTACATACTTCTTGAACTGCAATGACTTTCTTGTTACTATCAGGAAGAAGAATATGGGTACCTATCCTTGATGGAAGCAGCCATGGCCATGAAAGCCTGTTCGACATTTGTGGCATCTTTTGCACTGGTTTCCATAAAAGGTATGCCAACTTCATCTGCAAATGCCTGAAAGAACAAAAGCAACAATATGGAGAAAGGGATGCAGCAACAAATGCAGTATAATAGCAACAATTACAATTTGATAACCATACAGCTCTTCCAAGAAATAAACCTGCTATAAAGGATTTCCATTATGCTTTACATGTGAAACTAGTAAATACCTTGGCTGTCTCATATGACACAACTTTATTTGCTGTAAGATCACACTTGTTTCCAACGAGTAGTTTGTTGACATTATCACTAGCATAGCGATCGATTTCATTCAGCCACTGCTTGACATTATTGAAGCTTTCTTGATCTGTCACATCATAAACGATCTAATAGAGGAGCCACCATTAAATGGGAAAAGAAGAGATATAAAAAAAGTTAAATAAAGAGTGAAAACCACAAAGGAAGAACAGAAAGCGGAAAATCTAGAAAGGAAAAGATCACCCACTATTATGCCATGAGCCCCACGGTAGTAGCTGCTAGTGATTGTCCTAAACCGTTCTTGCCCAGCAGTGTCCCACTGTACATTGAACCAAGAGCAAACTAACTAGCTAATCATCAAGAAGCTAAACTGACACGAATGCCAAGTGTCAAGGTTTATGAGCAATTTTGTAGGACTAAATTACTAAAATGAAAATATATAAAAGGAAACAGTAGCAGCCAAAGAAGAAGATGAGCAGACAGCCCATTCTCCTATAAAGCATATTACCTGGAAGACCTAGGTTTCAAAGAAATGAATTTTTAAAAAAAGTACAGCATGCAAAAACATACAATTTGAAGCTTAATTGTCTTCCCATCCTGCTCCACAGTGCGTATTTTCTACCAAAAAAGAAAACGAGAAGACAATTAATTAGAAAAATTGCTATAGATTTTGGCATTCAGAAGTCAAGTTAGAAATAAGGACTGTTTACTCACAAAATCAACCCCAATGGTGCTTATGTAACTTTCTATGTATGAATCATCCTGCATTAAAGAAATTACATAATGATCAGGTTCAAGATTTAGTCCTGCATGACAATCTGAAAATATCCAGATATTTGATATCTCCAATATACAACTAAAAATAGTGACAAGATTCTGATGCCAAAATCGTCCTTGTCCAAACCATAAAAATATTTCACCATGTGAAGTATAAATCTCTCAATATACATGGTATGTAGGCAATGAAACTTTTGAATTAATCACAAGTACAATCTATAACATCGAACGTGTATATAAACATTTAAGGTAATCACATAAACATCTAGGAATGTGCGATAATGTAAATAGATCTCTAAAAAGTAAAGACATTTACTTTTAAATACCAATTTAAAGTCTACAAACTTACAGCAAATCTCAAAAGAAGACAAGATTTCCCAACACCAGAGTCTCCGATAAGCAGAAGCTTGAACAGATAGTCACTGCAAAAGAGTGCAACCAGATAATATTAACATACTTTTAAATGATGCAATAACATAATATCTCCAATTCTACCTTGCGTAACATAAAGTTGGTTTCTACAAGAGAGGCGTAACCCCAAACCCAAAGAGAGACATTTTTCAGAAACCAAAACTAAATTTGAAATTGTTAGCATTAAAATGTTGGAACACCAAATTAAATGTCCAAAGATTAACCCTTTGAATTTGAAGCCATTGCCAGTTGATTATTAACT